GTTCATATGACGCTCTTCAATATCCGCTAATATTCTGGAAGGGTTAGATTTGACGTGGCCTGGACAACGTCATTCTACAATGTCGAGAGCTTTGTGAACAATCGCTCAAAAAATTTCATGAGAATCGGTATAGCCGTTTCGTAGAAGTATGATAACAAAAATTGTGAGTTAATTTTGTACAAAAATTATAAAGTCATCTGGAGGCAAAACAACGTTTGCCGGGTCAGCTAGTATAAATATAATGTCGGGTCTGGCAGCAGCACGGCGTTTAATGTTTATGTTTAAATAATGTTTAGTGTAATGTTTATTTATTAGGCTTAAGTTTGTACAAAAGCTTATTTGATCGCAAGCCGACTCTTTCTCGGCCGCTCGACTCAACGGGTGTTCTATAGAGAGTTTTAGCTCGGCTATTTCTAGGTCGGGCCGCCCTCTCCATTTTCGAGAGCGATAATCAGAGCTCGAGGTGACTTGTCAGGCCGCCCTCTTTGTGTATTTACATGAATCCCTGCATGCACCATAAGCTGGTCTATCGTCTGCTTATCCGGCTTCATCTGCATGCAGGAATAAACATTTATAACGTTTTAAATTAATTAAATGATGCGTTTTATATTACTGGCATTGAAACCCTCAATGACAAAACATATAATATTATAAAATTGGTATCGTTCTTGTCTGTTTATTAAAAAATAAATCAAATTAGAAAATGGATGATAAAAAACAGAAATTAAAATCCATGACTCTTGATGACTTAAGAAAAAGATTAAATTACAGAGTAAAAAGCGTTCGCCGATTAGAGGAACGTTTGCAGCTGGGTCAGTTCCTTTAGTAAAGACGGAGCTAGAGTGCAGACAGGTAGTGAGTTTCCATTCGACTTTTGGATTTTAAGAACAATTTCGGGCTATCACCCTGACCAGTCAATGAACGTGAAAGATTGGGACCTACCAAAGAACTTGCCTTTAGCAGACCCATATTTTTATAAACCTCAGCGGATAGACATGTTAATAGGAGCTGAGTAATTTTTCGAACTTTTGTCCGTTGCCCAAATAAAACAAGGTCCGAACCATTCTATTCTCCAAAAAACTCTCCTTGTATTGATAGTATCGAGAAAATAAAAGGCTAATTCCTCAATTCGCCATTAGCGTGTCTTTAGCCTGAATTGCCAAGAAAAACTATTCGAGTCGTTAGATAGAAATTTGAAAAAATTCTGGTCGTTGGAACTTCTAAAAAGCTTTTGTAACCTGAACAAGAGTTATATCAGGAACTTTATCAGAAGAATACTGTTGTAGTGCCAGATTTTTCATTCCATTTAGAATCCGATCCAAGCGTTTTGGAAAACTTGTTCAAGGTAGCCAAACGTAGTTTTGTATCGCTCTAGAGAAGATTATCTTGAGATTCGAATTTAAAGAAAATTTGTTTGGAATTTATAGAAGAATACGAATCTGTATGTCCCCTACAAGCAATGATGTTCTTGCTACTCCACACTATGTCATACCCCATCAGTTTCGAGTCGTTTTTGGTGCGTCTTGTAAGACATCAACACAGAAGTGCCTAAACGATCTATTGATGATTGATCCGACAAACCAGGAGGAGTTGTATTCAACTCTTCCTCGGCTTCGACCAAACAGATTTGCTCTAATAGCCGACATAAAAAAGATATATGAGGAGCTACAGACAATAAAGTCTGAAGTAACTCTGGTTCTTCAAAACGATGGGTTTAAGTTGAGCAAGTGGTTTTCAAACTCGTCTGAATTTACTGCATCCGATAGCACGGTTAAGCCAAACACTTTCGGACTCAAAACTGATTAAAGCATTAGCAACCGCTTGGGTTCCTAAAGACGATATATTTATATTTGAAATTGATGTTAAGGTCATGGGTCAAAGGGCGACTAGGCGCCCGGAACATTCTTTCGGGGACATCGAAACTGTTGACCATTTTGATGGGCTAATTAAGGCCCATACCTATAAAAGGAAAGATCCTATTGCAGGAACTTTGGCTAAATAAGCTAGATTGGGAAGAGTCAATTCCACTGCACTTGGAAACAGCGTGGAACAAAATACAAATTGCCTTGTCGCAAAAAGAGGAAATCTCAATTCCGAGATTCAGGTAATTCCGAAGTCACCTGTTCAAATTCATGCCTTTTCTGACGCATCGATGAGAGCCTATAGAGCCTGCGTCTATATTCATTGCGAATCTGCAGAATGTATTCAAGTGTTTTTGTTGCTTGCAAAGTCTAAGGTAGCGCCGCTCAAGACAAAGACGCTCCTCCGTCTTGGGTTGTGTGCCGCTCACCTTCTCGTAGATCGCTGCCGCAAGATAAAGCCTCTAATCAAAGTATTTTGGTCGGATTCAGAAGTCACTCTTCATTGGTTTACACCAAAACCATCGATCTGGATTACAGTTCCATGAAGAAAATATAATAGCGGCTCAATTTTCCTCGTCGTCCCATAAGAGGTCCCATGTCTGGGCACCCATATGAGGTGGATTTCATGGTGCTCCGATATCTCGTTAAGAGATGTGCGACAGTCATTCGTCTAGGGCTCTGAGTGCCGCTTGACTATCTGAGAAGATAAAAATGGTTTCTTGATTGCCAGTAAGTGCTGGGGATCTAAGTGCTTCCCCGATATATATAAATTCTTCTTGGAACACACTACTTTGGTCGGGGAGTCTGAAGGACTCATTTAGACTCAGCCGCTCGCAGTGGAAACCGCCTCCCACCTGGCCATTCATCTTTGAACTGTCTGTGATATGATATGAAGATATGAAGGGAACCGGCTGATCCCGAGATTTGTGTGGAACAAAATACAATCTCTACAGGTAATAGGTCGAGTATAAAATCTAGGACGTCTATTGGTGTGGTGCGGAGCCTGCCTTTAATGCAGACCGCCGCCATCTTAATAATTGTGTTGAATTTATTATAGTTGGTTAATCAATATTTTCGTCAAAACGAAGAGCAAAGGTGTTGCAAATGAGTAATTAATTTTTCAAATAACTTTGGATCTCCCGACTATTTAGAGAATTAAGTTCGTTTATATCTATATTTTGGAAATTTAAAAGATCAGTAGTATGTTCTGATGTTGCTCCTTCGCCAATCGAATATAGTCGGGATAGTCCAAGAGCACGAGGATCAAGAAGAAATAGAAAAGATCCAAAATTTTTAAATTGTTTGCCCAAGTCTACAAAAGCTAAATCCGTTTGTACATGAATCCTCTTAGGAATGACTTATCTTTTCGTTGTTATGGGTCGGAGGTGACCTAATGCTCATATATCGTACGATGCCATGTTTCCAGTATTGTTGTCAAAGCGCTCTCAATTTATTCAGAGCTACGTCCGATACTTGCACGAGTCGAATTTTTATGTGGATCCACGCACTTGTTAGTCTTTTACGACAACGTATAAGATAATTAAATTATGGGGTGGTAGATTATATTCGGTTATCCTTCGCTGCAGTCAGTGGTTTCGTAGTCGGGTGTGGTCGTCCCTGGCAGTTGCCGAGGGGGTTGCTTCTCCCTGTATGATTGGGTCCCTGGCGGTTGCCGAGGGATATTCCTTCTATAACAGGAATTATGGTGGGAGCACTTGCTCCGTTATCACGGCCCTTGAGGCGTGGTGACCAATTCAATAAAATGAATTTACTATTTAACGGCTGTGCCGGAGTATGAGACAAATGCTTTCTTTATTGAATGAAGCGCAAGTACTAACTGATACTTAAAGCTAACAAAGATGTATTTCATAGCGGCCACGCAAATATGCAGTGATCGCCGGTTATGCATGGACATCCGGCCAGACGCTGTTTCAGCAGTTTGGCCAGCGCGAGTTCTTAAATAATCGGACCGTGCCTTTGCACGGTTAACTTATATGATCGTAAATGCGCACAAAGTATGCAGTCAGATAGTACCGTCATGCATACTCTGTTTCAAATGTAAGCCTCGTCTGATGACTCAAATAATGGGAGATTTACCCTTAGATAAAATTCGTGCAAGAATGCGTCCAAGGTAGTTCATTTTCAATTCAAAAGTAGTTTTTCACCTTGTAACTGATTTTAACTTCATCAGAGCGAGTGGTCACTCGGAAAATAGAGGACGAGGTCGACGTATTTGCATTCATACCGCCATGGGCTCTGCACATGTTGGAGTCTAGGCCGTCCTGGAATCACGACCCCTGGCGCGAATCCCGAGGCGCTTAGTGTCGGGTACCTGCAGACAGGCCGCTCATAACCCCACCAGCACCGCGGACCCCGAACCAACTGGGTCTAGAGTGCTTGCAGCGATAGCGGCTTGTTTCGTCAATCAAGCAAACGTTCTGGCAGCGATGTTCCCGGGAGTACGTCTGGAGCAAACAGGCGCGGTTGAAGAGGCAGCGCCAACAAGAGGACATCCGGACGAGCTGGTCCTGATCGCGGAGGATCACAAGCTGACACAACAGCGGTTCACTGGAAGGGTCGTCGCAACGCACGTCGGCGCGGACGGAAGAGTCAGTTAAAGCCGGTTAACGGATATGCCGTTTTAATTATTTTTGAACTAAATTTTAAATTAAATTTTGAATTTGTTAGTAATCTCTTATCTAGCATAGAATAGCTTAGGGCAAAGCGGAAGAGGAGGAAGGGGCAGCATTGTTCATTTATTTCTCTATTTAATATTAAGCAATAACCTTTTATTATTTATTTTTATTTTTCTTAAATAATAATTATTCATGATTTTTATTTTTCGCTTAGATTAATGATTATTTTTTTTTTCGATCAGAGAATAATGATCATTTTGTGATTTTTTTTCGATCCGAGAATAATAAAATAATAAGGAAATAATCAGTAAACTTTTTGTCTTTTATGGCAGCTCAATTTTTGTGACAGATATTTTTGAGCAAAAAAAAATAATCAGTAAGTAAATAATCAGTAAACTTTTTAATCAAGCTTTCTTAGATTTTTGTAAGTGATATTTTTAAGCAGAAAAAAAATAAATAATTTTTCATGATTTTTATTTTAATAAAAAAGATTATTTTGTAATTTGTTTTTCGATCAGATTTTTATTCTTTCGCTCAGAGAATAATCATTATTTTATGGTTTTTAAAACTAAAGTCAGAACAATAATCATTATTTACGGTCCCTAGTAAAAACATCTCGGTAAACAATAATACAAACTTTCACTAAACTGAAATGTAAATCATCTTCGACTCCGCCCGAGGTTAACTTTTCTTCTTTTATTTATCACAATAAAGTAAGTTATGCCAGAAGTAGACTTTCCTATTTTTGCCTTTAATCAAGTTGTACAATTATCTTTTTGAGCTTAAAAAACTGGTAAAATGAATATTAAATTTTATTTAATTTAATTGAAAACTTTTAAATTTATCATAATTAAAAAACAATGCTCGGACTTGACGGCCCCCAAAAAATCGTCCATTTAAATCTACAACAGCTACAAAGATAAAGAAAATTATAAACAATAATTTTTTGTTTGATGTTTGAAAATAATTGTTTGAATTTATATTTTACCTTTGATAGCGCTCTCAATTCGTTTAAATTCCACAAAAATTTTGACTGCGTCCTCTGGCTCTGTGCCGAATGCCTCGTGTATTATAACGCTATTTACTTCCCCGTACTTTGTGTGGCACTCGTCTTTTACCTCCGGTTCTAATTCTTCGTCTACGTCACCTGGACCTACCATGTTTCGAAGAAGGACGACTTTGCTTGGTGACTTCATGATTTCAGTAATACTTGGCTCTGTATCATTGCTGGTCGCACCCGTCAATGGTATTTGGAGGTTGGGACTAACCCAACCGGGCGGAGTAACAGTAGCAGGAGGTGACATTATTGATGGAGGCAGGAATACATCTTTTTCGTGTATGATTCTGCCACCTCGTTTTGAAGTCTTTTCTACTTGAAGTGCTATAGACATACCCTGCTCGGATTTTCCTAGCCCTTGACCATCTTTAAAGCCGTATTTAGCCATAATCTTTGCAGCAACAGAACTAGCTGAATATGGTATGGTAACGCTAGATGATCCATCTCCGTTTTCAATAGATATTTCTTGTAGCGACGGTGGCGGCGCAATGGCTGCACCACCTCCAAGTTTAGCTACAGAACCTGGCAAAGGGGGACTGTACCTTTCTTCATCGGATTGTCTCAGACCAAATGCGTTTAATTTCATGGATGTTGGCGAACTTTCGTCTTTCTGTGCATCCCGTCGGCCGTTGCGGTTTCGCTTTCGTTCCCTGTCTCTGTCACGATCTTCTCTATTTCCTGTAGCACTGCTCCGCGATTTTTCGATACTTTTTGACTTTTCTTTAAGCTTTTCATACTCATTAGGCCACTGCGGATCGTATTCATCAACAAAGTCCCAATCGTCCTTAGATGCATTATTTATCAATGGTAAAGCCAAAGCTGTGCCCGTAATAACGGGTTTAACACACGCATTTGTCATAAAATGCACTAATTCTGCTTCAACTGGTCGTTTAGCCCTAAGACTTACAGCAGGCGTCATTAGCTGTAAAAAGTTATAGAATTTACGGATAGTTAAAAAAAATGATTATACTATACTAACTTACAGGTTTTTTGATAGGTTGAGCTTTTTTTACGGCAAGCTGTGTCTGCAACATTTTAATTCCTGATGACCAGCCATCTATGTGGCTAGATCGAGGCTTTGTATCAATATCGTCATACAAATCCATTTAGTTAAAATCTTACTTAGGAATAAATGAATAGAAATGTGAAAAATATTATATTGAATAAAGGTTGGCAAATTTTTACAATAACAAAAGAAAATTGGGGAAGATAAAAAATAAAATAAGGTATAGTACCATAATTCATAGCAAGTACTTTGAAAGGCCATTCATAAACAAAACAAAAAAATGGAATATAAATTTATAAACTTTTTTTCTCTATTTTAGGCAGTAAACATAGAGCAGATGAGGTATCAGAGGCCATGGTTTACGAAGATTGGTTTATCAAGGACGGCTTAAAAGGAAAAGGCTTATCATACTATTCATAAACAAATTGCCTTTTATTAAAACAAAATTGGTAAATTGAATTCTACCATATAGTTTTGGCTACTTAAATATTTCTTTCTTTTTTTCTTTCTAAAATATGTAAGTGTTTAAATAATATTAATATTACCAATACGTTACTTGTTATGGGGGAACTTTTTGGAAACTGGAGAAAACCAAAAATATAAATATAAGCAATTTATCGATAATATAAAGCGATTTTTGTACATAATGTACGATATTTACATTGTACATTGTACAAAATATAACGACTTTTTATAGGCTATTCCCACTGAGTCACCATATGTGAAACAGTTAGAATATTTGACACTTGTAAAACAACGATATACCACTGAGAACAACCACCATCCCTCATCCAACATGCACTTAAAAACTGATCTAAAATGTCAAATCAATAATAATGTTGTCCAAAAGTGTGCAACGCAGTAAAGGAGACATCTCCGACCCTATAAAGTATATATATTCTTGATCAGGATCACCTCCTGAGTTGATATGAGCATGTCCGTCTGTCTGTTTCTACGCGAACTAGACTCTCAGTTTAAAAGCTACCGTCTTGAAACTTTGCAAACACCCTTCTTTCTTTTGCACGCAGTATATAAGTCGGAACGGCCCGGATCGGCCGACTATCTCCTATAGCTGCCATATAACTGATTGATCGGAAATGGTATAACTTTGGAGATTTAAGAGTTAGAGAGTTCAAATTTGACACGAGAGCTATTATTCGCAAAACATTACGACATTACGATCTAACTGTCAAATCAATAATAACTTTTGTGAAAAAAAATTTTTTTGTGGACCTAGCTTGGTCCATGTTGGTCATATCATCTAATTTTGTCATACATCTACATATAAAGACACAATCGATCCCCAGGAGTACTGGTCGAAGCTCATACTTATTGTGTGTTAACATAATGTGTGATGACCAAAAGTCTTACTTGATGTATTCGAGTACCAGGGTGATTATTTCAATTTATTTTATAAGAGTTTTATTTCGAAGCACAACTCTAGTAATATTTATTTTAAATTTCAAAATACCACAATTAAAACCATTATTTACAGAGAAAATAGTTTATTAGTGTTAGACCATCTCAGTTATACAGTGAAGTAGAGCTCTTCGACCCAGTGTTGCCATATTTTTTTGCACATAAACACTAGATTATTGTTAGAAAAAATATAATAAAAAGCTCAAAAACTTAGTTTGCAAATAATTTTTAACCTTTATTTTTTCTTGTGTTCTTTTTACTCCTTCTGAGAGCAAGAGACTTACTTTCTTTTGATTTTGGTTTTCGTTTGAGTTTTTTACGTTAAGAGTTTCGTAAGATTTCCTTCTACTGAGCATCGCTCAATGAGAGATATGATTGACGCTCGCATTAAGGGATCGATTGACCAAAAAAGTCAATCCAAAAAGTCTTTCAACACTTTATATCAGTGGTCGGCACGGCCTTATCCCGAGGGCATAGGAAATTTCTCTGCCAGAGCTCTGCCACACACACACACCGTATAAATGTGTGATGCTATTCGTTACTAACACTAATGCGTTAAAATCATATCAATGTATTGGGGTGCCGACCACTGCTTTATATCCTATTTGATGCACATTGGTACAATGTGTAACTTTTTGAACTAAAGAAAAGAAAGGAAAGCTAACTTTGGGCGGAGCACAAATTTATAAACCCCTGTAGTTAGAATCAGATATATATCGCAAGCATCGGATATAGTTGTCCGATCCTTATAAGAATATCATTATATAACCCATTTATTACAATAAAAAATATAAAAAAGAAAATCCCAAGCTTCTATCTTCAAAAATACGAAAGTTGGTATATCTACCAAATACAATGGTATTATCCGATCGTTCAGTTATCGTTATGAAATTTGGTAGCTCGAATCATATGACCAAAAATAGAATCTGAACTAAGTTCCAGCTTTCTATCTTAAAAAACACGAAAGTTGGGTCATTTTCGATAGTTCAGTTAAAAGGCAGCCATATAGTCGGCCGATCCTTATGAAATTTGGTATATCGTATTAGTTTTCCAAAAATAACATTCGTGCGAAATCTCTAAACGGATATATATCGCAGACATTGGATATAGTTGGCCGAATCCTTAGGAGAATATTACAATAAAACCAATTTATTACAATACACAATTAAAAAAAAAAAGGTCCCAAACTTCTATCTTCAAAAATATCAAAGTTGACATATTTACCAAATACCATTTTCAATCGTTAAGTTTTATGGCCTATATAATATATATTCGGCCGATCGTTATGTAATTGGGTGATATTGTTAAAAAAATAACTTTATCTTTAATGTTATATTACCTTAGAAGTCAAAACCGACCTTTTATAAATAATATACGTTTTAAAATGAAACCACTGCTTATATTCACTAAAATTTTTTTTATACAAGCAACATTGGCCAATGTTGTTTTGCCCATTTTTGTTTTCTAGAAGAACTAGTTTTTTTTTTCATTTATTTTGGTTAATACAAATTTCCTGGTATTTCCAGTACATCCTTTTTTTCACATACAGCAACTTGCCCATATCCAATATCTAACAGTTGCTTCGGGAAAGTTTCGGCGTCTGGATCCCGAAGAATTTTAATGCGCATATTCTTCGCCAGTTGTACTTTTCCAACGTTACGCCACAGTCGCGATGATTTTAAGCAAGCATTAATTTAATTAGCGTAATGCTTGCTTAAACGTGGATTAACGCAACGTGGATTAACGCAAATTATTTATGAAATTATAATATTAATTAATTATTAATATTAATGAAATAATCTGAAAGGAGTACCAAAGAGCCGCCAAATAGTTAATCATTGTTCTTTATATACCTCAATGTCCTATCCAATGGCCAATGCAATGCCATTTTTGATCGTATCTTAACCAAGAATCGTATCGGCAAGAAGTAGCGAAATAAGAAATTTTTTTCCAATTCCACCTGGTGCATGAAAAAAAAAATCCTCCTCGTCTTGCCGCATCTGCGAGCATAATGCGGTCGTAAATAATTTTTTGGTCGTCAAGAAGTAGTGGAACATTGCGACTAACAATGCCTGTCATTTCTACAGTCCACTGCCACCACATTTTCTCTCTGCAAAGGAAACTGCCCTCCAGTTAACCTCAACGGCTCCCCAATCCCACAGGAAGACAATCCCTATTACCGTGGATTCACCCTAGACAGGAGGCTCACCTGGAGGCCCCATCTGATTAAGAAGAGGAAACAGGCTGATCAAAGACTTCGATCATTCTACTGGCTCATGGGTAGGAGATCGAAGCTGAGAACTTCCACAAAACTTCTCATCTACAAGGCAATAATACGCCCAATCTGGACGTACGGCATACAGCACTGGAGCACTGCCAGCAAGTCCGAACTTACAAACGTTCGAAACGTTCGATAGAGCCCTTCAAATCGCCACTGGGGCCCACGTCTATCATGACAATCGCACCATCTCCGAGGTTCTCAATTTTTCTTAGGTCAAGGACGAGATCTAAAAAAGCAGCGCACGTTACATGCAGAGGCTTCATAATCACCCGAACCTGTTGGCCAGCTCCCTGCTGGACAACAGCGAGCAGCCCAGAAGACTAAAAAAGACACACCCGCTGGACCTCCCCTTACTACTCTTACTCTTACCCTTACTAATTTATTTCTACCATATTAATATGTAAAATTATCTATAAGTGAAGTTTATGTGATAACATTTAATGGTTGTCCCTAAAGGACAGTTTTAAATAAATGTTATCCTGCTATTACAAAAAAAAAAATTTCTACAGTATCGTACTGTTGTTCAAGATTCATATCTGTGTTGAGTTAAAACGATGTAATATGGAAGCATGAATTGAATGTTCAAATTGACTTCAAGGAACAGGATCTGTACCGAGAAGTAAAAAACGCAATGTTTCTGGCGGTGTTTCAATTTCGAGTAGTTGTACTTTTCCTGATGAGCAACATCTCCCAACTGGCTCATTTTTAAATTTGAGTGCATGTTTACTAAAAAGTATTTTAAGTAAAAAGTTGGAAAAGTACTCATAAAGTACCAATAATCACTTTTGGTAGAGCAGAATATTTAACATCAGGTTCGTACTGGAATGCTAGTCGAAGAAATGGCCCTAATGTAAATGCTCGATTAACTTGTGGCCTTTGTTGGTCAATTTTTCTTCTGTTACCTCTGAATCTGTGCGTTTCGTTGCAGTTGTCTCCTAAAAAAAGGAGTATCTAAAAATCTCCTCAAGGAATTTTCTGGGAAGTTTTTTTCACAAATATCCCTGAAAAACTCCAATAAAATAAAGCGCATAAAAAAGTTGTATGAAAAATACCCAATATCTCTACGTCATCGAAATCAAATATGTACAAAAACTCCTCAACAATTTTCATATACGGTCGCATATGGAATGGGTCCTGCCGACCGCTGCTTTAAATATAAAAAAATACTGTTCTTGGGTTCCATTTTCGACCATTTCACATCGACGCTATTTTGGCGCCAATAGCACCAAGCTAAGTATAAACTATTTGTTATCGCATATAGTAATTTTTGTTAATGAACTATCGATGTTTCGGCTGTATATACTTAGACCAATAAATAATTTATTAAATATTTTCCAATATATGGCAAATTTGCGCTCACCAAAATAAATAAATATGTTGATATTCTCGCCTTAGAAGACAATATATTTTTTAATTTATTCAACTTTGTAACAGTTGTCTTAATTTTTATATTGAGTAGAGGCGATGCGAAAAGAGGCAAAAGAAACATTCAATCTGATTAAGATCGGTTTAGGAGATGTCGGCATCACTGACAAATTTCCAACTTTAATACCTATACTTAAAGAAAATTTTTAACAATTAAACAAAAAAACATCGCGAAAAACATACAAAACGGATTTTCTGCTATTATATTTTGTGTGGCTAAATTTTGTGTCACTCCAAAGCTTCGGCGTGTGTGAAGAACTGCGCACGTCGTTTACAATGTCTAGCATTACCTTGCCCATGTTAACACATGGAGGTGCAAATGAGGGAATAACTGAAAATGTTAACAATGACATGCGCACTGGAACTCTAACTCATCTGATGGAACAGCACAATATACCAAGAGAGGAATTATTAATAATGTCAAATGATGAGAACGGCTTTATGTCGAGTGGAGCAGAACAATTACGGCACCAAGGTAGTCGATTACAGACCTCACGTTTCATTTGTCTTCGGTGTTGCGGAAACTTCCTTACTTGTTTAGTGCGGCTGCGAAGTACTCCCGAAGAACAGGAGCAACGCTACAAGTCCAAAGAAATTGATCGATTTCTAGAAAAAGAAAGGCATACGTTTCGACGCCAAGTAAGTTTTTATTTGATGATCGCCAAGTTTTGATTAACCTTTTTTAATTAGCAAAAACTTAAAATTTTTTGTAATTCGCAGCTGTAAGTAATTGGGGAGGTCCCGAAGTTGATTCACCCTTGTAGTTAGAATCAGAAATATATTGCAAATATGAGATATTGGCTGGCTGACCCTTTTGAGAATTGAATTTTAGAATTTTTATTTTTTAACTTTTAATAAAGAGAATTGAGAATTTTATTATTTATTATTTAACAAAATAACAATACAAAATGTACATAAAAGAATACAAAATTAAAAAAAAAATTCAAATCTTCTACCTTCAAAAAAAAAACTAAAAATGGGCAATAGAATTTATATAACTCATTCATATGAGGTATTTATATAACTTTAAAAACACCAAACGGACTATAAGGACTATAAGTCTGTGCCAAGTTTCAACCCGATAGTCGGAGGGGTGGTCTCCAGAGGTCCTTTGATATTCGATGCCTTTGAAAATCACAGTGGCTTCCAGCCAGCTCTCCATTTTTGCTGCCTGTTTTAATCGATTATGTCAGTTCAGGAGGTGAGGTCTTTAGCAGAGCTGAGTTTCTGCACTGAACGCATCACTGCGTGCACTGGGTATGAAATTATTTATGTAGTTTGTTAAAAAATGTATCTCTTTTCCATTTAATGAAAAAATGACCTTCCCTTTAAAGATTTTTCTTTCTCGGTAAAGCTGAAAGTATAATTCTATTTTTTGCCATTGTACATACTTCTAACTTATCTACGCTACTTTTATGGTATGGCGACGATATTATACTATACCATAGTAAAATATTTTTATGTTAGCATGAATGTAATTTTTCAAAGTGTACATGAGGCAAAGTGGCATAGGCCATAGACCGCAAGTTGCCGACGACGGACGTCCAACACCTCACAACACTTTTCTCGGATATATTCTTGGAATAGATAGACCCAAAAATTGATCCAAAAACAAATCAACCAAAAAAAATGGTATAAACTTTAATGTTTTAGATTTTGACTTGCAGGTGAAAATTAGCTTTAATTAAGGGGTTATATACAGTTGTAATATATGAAAAAATCGATTTTTTCTTTTTCGATCATATTCTTTAAGTATATTCTTTTGGGAATACTCTCACAAAAATTCAAAACGATCGGAGCATTAGAACCGAAGCTGTAGCTATTTATAGCGCACTATCTGCATATAAAACTTGAACAAACTTGAAACTTTAAACGCGATTATCTCAGAATCTTATTTTTGGGAAATTACCTTTGCGGTGGACACGATTACTAAAAAACTACTAATCCGATCAACACCAAATTTTGACCACTTATTTATTATGATATTAGCTAATCCGTGAACGGGGGATTTTCAATTTTTTTGAAAACTCCTTTTTTAAAGCATAAAAATCGAAAATCTTATACCTTGAAAAAGTACATTTTTTGTTAAAAACGTCGCCATTTTTTGTTTAATCAAAATTTTTAAAAATCCCTCGTTCACGGACTAGACAATACAATATACTAACTAAACTTTTTTGAATTTTGGATTTCGGATGAACCGTTTTCGAGAAATCATGTCCACCGCAAGACACCATCGAAAAAAGACGATCCGGGAATTCGGCTATAGCATTTTTGTTATGTAATATTTTTTTATGAAAAAATTTAAGTACCCAGAAACATGTACTAAACAACGTCGGTAAAACATTTTTCATAAATATTTTCTATGGTGTCAAAAAAAAATCGATAATAATCCATATTTTTGCGCGGTACAACTGTATATAATATAACCCCTTAACTTTGATATGGTTTTAACTTTGATATATAGTTACAGCATAACCATAATGTATATGTATATTATGTAGTCAAAGCAATTTTTTGGGTCTCAAATAATTCCATATGTAGAAAACCAAATTTTGTATGCAAACCACGTGCCAATGGTTATAAAAAGGAGATATTAAAAAACAAAACGTGAGTTTTAGGTAAAGTAATTGGTATATTGATTTTGTACTGTGATGTCCACAGCTAATATCGTAGACTCTAATATCTATTTATACCCACCAAAAATACTATAAAGAGAAACGAGAATAATAGGTATGTTTGGGGGGTGTGTGTGTGAACTACTTTTTAGGCTAAGCAACGCGTAAAGATAACCGTATTATACAAAATAAAAAAAAGTTCATTTTCGTATTAATCTGTGGAAACGAATCTGCAATGTTCAAGGGTATATTGTAGTCGTGTAAATGTATGTATGTAAAACAGAGAAGGAATCATCTCCAACACCATGAATTATACCTATATATTATTGAACAGTATCCACAGCCGAGTCAATATAGCCTTGTCCGTCCGTCTGTCCGTATTAACGCGTAGATCTTAGCGACTATAAAAGATAGGATTTGGCATGAAGACTCCTATATTGCCCAAGCAGTCACGTTTGCTTTAAATTTTTGCCACGCCCCTTCCCCCCCGCAATACTATATAAATATATAACTATAAATATAGTTAATACTATATAAATATAGTTTGCCACCTGTTTGCCTCTGTCTTTTATGTAACATTTCGTTTTTTTATTAAAAGAACGATACAACATTTTTTTTTGTTTTATATTTGAAAATGCGTGGGTTTCCGATACAAGATGATGAGAGACGTCAGACGCCAACGATCTTCGTATGCTCAGTCACTGTTCCATTTTATTGAAGCTCTTTTAGTAAACCACATTTTTTGTTTTTTGGTCTGACGTTAATACGAACAAAGCAGATGGTTTTCCAACTCGTGAGCATGCAACGTCTAACGTCAACGTCATCCATGTGAAAAACAATGATTTTCTAAATTTATGCCGCAAACACTAAACAATTGGCCTTGTGACTAGTTAATTGTTATTGCGAACGCAAGGGGAACTGAAAATTGCAATCGTTTGAAGTCAAATTGAAGATTATTCGGATTCGGATTCAAGAGCTAATTGAGAGTGTACAAATCGGCAAAAGTCGTTGGTAAGAGTAATTAATCCAGATCGGGCATCAACTGGGACTTTTCCATTTCCAACAGCTAACAATCGTTTTGAAAATTGTGCAGCACTTTGATTATTTTGAAGTTCCACTCTCATATTTGTGGTTAGCGATAATGTTTTCACGTTAAGCATAGTATTGAGTTGACGAAAATCCGCTGTTGAAATTCTGATAGCGATTTTGCACTTTATTCGGCTGCCAAGGTAGTGTGACCAAAACAATGAAGAAATAAGGTAATACTGAACAGCTGTTGTTTGTAAACAAAAAACAAATAAGCAAAAATGAATTCAAAACGATTAGATGTTGGTGTTTTGTTTATGTATTTCGCCGCTAAGGAGCTGATTAAGAAATAGAAAACTGGGTCAAAATCAAAATCCAAATCAATTACAAATCATTTCAATGCCATTTTATGGCATTAAAATGCCCCTTGTGGGTCAAATCCCATATTATGGGCTTCGTCTTGACCGCAGAAATTAATTTTAATTTGTCCTGGCTCGTCATAAATTTTCGGGCCGACTATTTTTTTGTTTGGTCACATGAAATCAGCAGAGAACAATGAGTAGCTGTCAAACAATGTTTTACGTGTTTTACCAATAAAATATTGGTTTATAGCAGTGGTCGGCACGGCCCTATCCCGAGGGCATAGGAAATTTCTCTGCCCGAGTTCTGCCACACACACAGTATTAATGTGTGAAACATCATGCTCACAGCCTACTTTCTGCTATTCGTTACTAACACTAATGCGTTTAAATCATATCAATGTATTGGGGTGCCGACCACTGGTTTATAGTATAGTATGTTAAACCTTGCGCAACCTGAGACCGTTCCAACGAATGCAAAACCGTATAATCGGTTCGTGCTTTCTGGAGTTATAGCGTCATACAGGAAAACCCGAAACTCTTGAAACTTTGCACACACCCTTCTTTCCTTTGCACGCAGTATATAAGTCGGAACGCCGGGGATCGGCCGACTATATCCTATAGCTGCCATTTTACTGATTGATCGGAAATGGTATAACTTCGGTGTATTTAGAGTTGGAGAGTTCAGAATATGAATTTTAAATGAGAGCTATTCTTGGCAAAATAATACATGCTAAATTTCATAACGATCGGGCGACTATATCTTATAGCTGCCAAAACATAAGTAACATAAGTTGTTACTTATGTTACTTGCTGCCAAAACAACATAAACATAAGTTTATCAACAATATCGGGTTTCAGGCGAGTCCTGCGGTCAGAAATGATTTGCCCAGCTTTGCTTAAGGCCCTTTCTGACACGCAGAAAGGTACTTTTCCTTAGGTTTTCCTCTTGAAATTGACATTACAAAAACATTGATAATATAAAAGAATCATCGATGTTTTCGAAAATTTAAAAAACATCGATGCATTTGATGCGGTTTGGTAACAAATTCTAGCGGCAACTGTTTTAAAGAACCAAAAAATTAAAGGAAATCTCACAAAAAATATCACAAAAAACCAAATGCATAACAAGTGCGTAAAAAAAAGGTAACAAAAAGGTCAATAAGCTGCTTTCGTGTTTCACACTCCCCAAAAAATTATTCCATCGTTAGAGTATTCATGCACAAGCCTTACAATAAAACAAGAAAAACTTAAAAGCAATCGGCGTTTTTAGTGACTCCGACTGAAATATACCCTGTTCCTATCTCAGTACAGGGTGACAATAAAGAACTCGCACAAACATTTTTGATCATAACTTTTTAAGGAACTGTATTTGAGAAAAAATTCAGATACACAACTTTTAAATAGGTGTTGTGTTAACACATATTCAGCCGGTTTCAAAGTGGCTTCCTTGGGCTGCGATGCAGAGCCCTAAACGTTTCTGGAAATTTAGCGCAATGGGCCGCACGTCTTCTTCCGATAATCGATCCCATTCTCGGAGCAATGATTGCTTCAGCGCCTCCAAACTTATGTGGCGTTTAACACATGCCCTGGACTCCATCGGATTAAGATCTGGCGAGTAAGGGTGCCATTCAATGGA